GCTCTAATCTGTTAGCATCACTGTCAAATCTACTACAAAATGATGACTATGCAGCTGAGATCTGCAAAGACATTAAAGTGGGCACAAAGAAATTCACAATGTGGAAAGAGAAGAAAGATATTCTCTATAGAGATAGTTATATGTACATTTCTCAGAATAAGGCTCTGCAAATACAACTGATTAGACATTATCATAATCTACTTCTTGCAGTGCATTTTGCTACAGCAAGAACATACAAGCTTATAACTTACAAATACTTTTGGCCAAGAATGAGAGAGCTAGTGAAGGAGTGTTGCAAAGCCTGTAGAATCTGCCAGAGCTCAAGAAGAGTTTACAGAAAGTTTCAAAAAGAACTATCACTCTTACCAATCCCAAATTACTCTTGGGAATTCATTAGTATGGATGTTATTACAGATCTCCCCACAAGCCTGAATTTTGAAAAGATATAGTTTGACTGTATTCTGATTATAGTAGACTGATTCACAAAGATGATTCACTTTATCCCTACAACAAAGAAGCTGACATCAGAGAAATTGGCCCATCTCTTTATTTGTGAGATAGTGAAATTGCATGGATTATCTACAAGCATAGTAACAGATTGAGAATCTCTGTTCACAAGTGAATTTTGGGGTAATTTGATTTATATCTTGAAGATCACAAGAGCAATAAGCACAGCATTCCACCTGCAAACTGATAGTCAGACTAAGAGACTGAATAGTGTGCTGGAGTAGTATCTGCAAAGCTATATTAATTATGATTAAGATGACTGGGTGATGTGATTGCCAATGACTGAGTTTGCATACAATAACTCACAACAGACTTCCACACAGAAATTATCTTTCCAGCTGACATATAAGCTGAATCCACAAACAGAATTTTTGGACTCTAATGAGTATGGCTATGTGTGTAAGAATTCAAGGGATCAGGTGGAGACAATAAGATTGCTCCACAAAGAGATTAAGAAATTGCTTGCAAAAACACAAGTCTATCAGAAGAAATACTATAACCAGAAGTACACTGTAAAGATCTTTCAGATAAGAGACAAGATATGGCTTGATCTTTGCAATATCAAGACCACACAGTCTAACAAAAAACTGAATTTGTTGAGGCATGAATCTTATAGAATTATGAAGAAGATAGGCTTGTGAGTCTACAGACTGGAACTGCCTCCAGGTCTGCAAACCCATGATATCTTTTATATATCTTTGCTCTGCAAACACAAGACCCACAAAGAAATTAATAGCTTATCTCATCATGAAGTTTACAAGACAGACAAGAATGAAAAGAAGTACCAGGTTCATAAGATAATTAACTTAAAAAGAGAGGGTTACAAGCTGTGGTACAGAGTACATTGGGAAGAATATAATAATAAGAAGAACAAGATATGCATTTTTGCAAGTAATATCTGTCTACTGAGAAAGCTACTCCAACAATTCCATAGTAGGAACCTGGACAAGCCTGGTTCACAAAAGAGATGGATGGAGATAGTAGAACTAGAAAATGGATTAGAAAGAGAAAAAATATAGTCAAACTGAACTGAATTCAATTGATTTCAAAACAAAAGAAGAAAAAACTAAACTAAGATTATATAATTAGAGTCTTCAGCTTCTTCTGTAAAGATCTGTAACAATAATTCATAATCTCACTGCTGAAAAGAGCAAGCAAGATATCTACAGTATAGACAGTTATTATATTTTTGATTCAAGTCTGCAGAGATGCACTCTGCAAAGATTATATTACTATAATCTTACTAAGCTCTCTTGCAGACAGAGTACTTCTGTTCAGATAGTAGCTAGATCTCAGCTCAAGTCACAAGAATTCTCTTACAGAGCTGAGTATGCACAGTTAACTAGTTTAAATTATTTAAACCAGCAATAAGTACAGATTTTTGAATAGACTCACAACACCATGCTCTTTTGCAGACAGACAAAGCTTGTGTCTCTGTATGAGAGGGGAGATCTGAAAGAATCACTGAATTGGCCCACAATACACCAGTAAAAGTAGCAGCTGATGGTATTTGAGTGAAGATGGTCTGGAACCATCATTGTCAGTCTCACAGAGAGAGTGCTGGGCAGTCTCAAGCACTTTACAGAATCATGGTATTCATAAACCCTGCTGGTGCAGAGAGAACAACAACAACAATCTAAAGAAGATTAGCCACAAACTGAAATGTGATAGAGAATACTCATATTTTCAGTCAGGGTCAGAACAACAACTACAGAGAGAAGAGACAGAGCAGCAGAACCCTAACTTCATCAGCATATAAATTAATGTCAGCTTGTAAGAAGCACTTACAGCTTGAGCTAGTGCTGGAGAGATAGTGATAACTGATGGAGAGAAGAAAGAGAAAACAACAACACTCTAGAACTATCAGTTACAAACACTTCTCAAACTTCTTGTAACTACTCATCAAAGGCCCAATCTCATCTACAAAAGAAGGGGTGGGGGTTATCTCAAGAGAGAAAAGCAGAGACAAGTCACAAGAGAAAGGGGGAGGAGACTGCACACCAGCAGCAACTGCTAGCAAGCATCAGTCTCTCCACAAACCAAACCCCATGTGAAGATAAAACCTAATGACCACACAAAGCAAAGACATAACCAGAGGTGAACTCACCAGCTTGTGATCTTTCAGCCAATCATATAAAACATCAAAGTGAAGTCATTTTTCTTTCAGAATATCAGAGATCTCCCACAAGTGTGTCTTCCACATGAAGCAGTGCTTGAAGAGTTCACTTATCTTGATAATAGTGATATAGACTAGAGAAGAAAGAGAAGAAAAGAAGAGAAAGAGAAAGCAAGAGAAAGCTCTCTCTTAAGCTAGTGTTTATTATCTAATAGTGACACAGAGCTAGCAAGAATAATAGAGACTCTCTACACATTGTTGTATTATTAGGTTCTGTTGTATTATTAGAGTTGTGTTAATATCACATCTCTAGTGAGACTGTACTCTTTTTCTTATAAAGAAATTTTTATTTTTCCCAAGAGATTTTTTGTTTTTCTACTTATGAAGATTTTTAATGAAATAGCTACCTTGAGAGACCAAGACTTATAAGAGAAGGGAATTTGTAAGAATTTACTGTAAACCTCTTACACAGATAAATAGCATTTGTAAAGATCAGAGACCTCAGCTTGCAAGCTGCTGAAAGTTGCATGTGTTCTTGCAAGACACTAAGTCACATGCTTATAAGCACACATAAAAGACTGTCACTGTATAAACTTCTTGCTGAGAGCTAGTGGCAATCTTGTTTACAAGTTGTATATAGTTGCCAGAATACAGATCTTTTATCTTGTGTACTCTTTTCCATGTATATTTCTTCTAGAGATTTATTGTCATGCTGATTCACATGTATAATCCTCATATTTAGGCAGAGTTCTTTGTTCATTCATTATTTGTGTTTCTCTTCCAATATTTTTGGAAGTGGTTTCATCAGCATCTTCTTTATTTATAGATAACCTTCTTTATTGTCTTGTTAGAATGCACCTTTCTCTTGAGAGGTTGAGATTTTTCATTTCTTCTTATTTTGGTTCTTGTCCCACTGACTTTGCTTCTTCTTTTCTAGAATGAACTCAATAAGCATCGCTTGTTCTTGTAATTCTGCAATTATTTTTAGTTGGTGTTGCAGGTTATTCAGTTCAGTCTGGATGATTGGTCTGAGCTTTGTCTGTAGAAAGAGTACACAAAAGAATTCATCTGCTAGACTATTCAGATTCTGTTTGAGTTCAGCAAGATATGTAAAAAACAAGAGTATAAATTAGTTCTCTTGTTGGACAGTGTTATGATAATGCTGCATCATGCCTCAACTACAAGTTATCTCAGATTTAATGTTGTTCTTACACCACATCTTGAATTTATTTCATGATATGGGTAGTTGTTCTCTCTCTATTCTCAACATCTGTTAATACATCTGGGGTTTGTCACAAAAATAACTGGACACCCAATTAATTCTGACTACATCTGGTGCTTTTTATAATGATTTTCTCAGACAAAACTGCTGTCTTATTAAAGCTAATCACAATTTGCACTTATTAAGTAATTTGCCATGGTAGTAAGATGCTTTTAGAAGCTTCACATCATCAAAATTATCTGACTTCTCTATCAGTTGTGCGTGTAAGGGGAACTCTAAAGAGAAATCATCATTCACTATTCTCTGTTTGTATTCTATCTGCTTCTGCAGCCTGCATATCTTATTTTATTCACATATGTCTGCTAGATTCTTTTGCAGACATGTCTTTTTTTTTTTCAAAGATATTCTTCCTTCAGATTTGCTATGAAACTTGTGGCACAGCAGCCAAGAACACAGGATGATTGGATGAGACCTGGCAAGATGGAATCACAGATCATTGTGGAGAAATCTTAAGACAGGAAGTCACATGATCAGGAAGTGATATAAGCAAGATAAGATATAAGAAAGAGATTATCATGTATTATGATACTATAACATAAGCAATCTGGAAGAAAGTATCATGAGTATTACCAGAAGAGCATCATGTATATAAGAATGCTCATTACCAGAGATCTGATGGACTTGTTCATCATGATCAATCTTCTTATCTATCTTACAGATACCTTGAATCAGATACTTTCATATCTTGATTACTTTTCATACCATTGAAGTCTTGTAATACTGTATGATTGTATCTGATCCCACTACTCTTGAGAAGGCATAATAGCCTTGCCCTGACTCTGGTATACCTGTACAGAAACTCTTTGTCATCAGAGCAAGACTGCTCACTCAACCAGAGCATTATTGGATTATTGATCACTATCTTCAATCTGTTGTTATTCTCTTTGAGTTCTTTGATACTCTCAAGACCCCAAAAAACCCAGGGAGGTTCCCAGTCATACAAAATCTAAACACAACATATTGAGCATCCCTGACTCAGAAGAGAATACACCTGAGACTCCAGAGATTACATACAAAGAAAGAACTTTCTGTGTCATGTCAAGCATAAAGATACAATCTCCACCCCACATCAAGATCTAATAAAGTATAGAAACCATGTCTGCATTCAAAGCATCAGCCATCAACACTCAAGATCTTATAAATAGAATCTTGCAGCTCAAACAGATTATCAAGAGACTTGGAGAGCAGAATCATGAATTAAAAGATCATAACAAGCAGCTTGAGACCCAGATCATGGCTATTCCATCCACTGGACAACAGAAAAAGAAAGATAAAGCCAAAGTCAATCTACCAGAATTCTTCAAGAATGAACAAGAAAAATTACAAGCTTTCTTGAAACAACTGTGCATCTACATAAATATAAAAGGCAAAGAACTCAGTAACAATAAGAACAAGATAATAATAACAGTATTATATTTTCACAGAGCAGCATTTGATTAGTTCAATGCTTACTTGCAGAATTATTACAAAAAAGACAAAGTTAATCAGAATAACAACATGCTAAAGATTATTAACAGCTACAACATCTTTATTCAGATATTGAAAACCACTTTCAGAGAAGTCAAGAAACAAAATACAGCAGCCCAGCAGTTACACTACATATAATAAAAGATATCATCACAAGAATATGCTATAAGATTCCAGCAAATCTGTGTCAATACTGATTGGGATGATGAAGCCTTAGCTAACATCTACTATCAAGAACTATTTAATAAGATTAAAGATAAAATAGTGCAATTGAAGAAACAACCATGCATTCTGATCAAGATAATTGAAGTGACAGTCAGGATTGAAAACCAACTTTACAAACAAAAGATAGAAAAGCAAGAAAAAGTGCCATGAAAGCAACCTAGTTTATTGAATCACACTAGAAGTTAAGAGTGGAGCAAACACATACAATCAGACTCTTACAAAAACACACCCATGAAGCTGGACATAACAAAAGTTTAACATGCTCAATGAAAAAGAAAAAGAGCAGAGAAAGAAAGAGAAATTATACTTCTATTATGTCAAGTCTGAACATTAAGCAAGACAGTGCAGAGCAAAAAAAGCAGATTAAAGAGACAAGAAACTCAGAGCAATCTTACAAGAAAATAAAAATAACTCTGAAGTTAAATAATATCTCTAAGCAATAACTCAGAAAGAGCAAACTGAAGAAGAACTTCAACAACAGTTCAGAAAGATATTCAAAAAACAAGTTAAGAAAGCTTATCTAAAGCTACTCCAGCAGCTGAAAGATGAACTGAAATACTGAAAACAGCTGGAGAATGAAAAATGAGAGTTATATGAAGAATTATGTGTGAGAATGAGAAGTAAATCAAGTGATGATTAAGAAATTTGACCACTTGACTACAAATACCACTACAAAAAGAAAATAAACAAAATTCAGAATCCAAAGCACAAGAAACATGCTCAGTATCTAATCTATAAATGTTCATGCAAGCTTCACCAGAAACAATAAGAAGAGTTCAAATAATAAATATAAATTACAGAAGACTTCATGTATCATGGAGACTATAATTATGACATCAAGAATTGCCAGTGTTGCAAATGTGATACTGAGAAAGAAGAATGGAAATTGCCAGACCCACAGAATACCTCATTCATGGAACACTCAAATTACACCAGAATTCATTGGAGCTTTTGCTATAATGATAATTGCCCTATTTACAGAGACAGAAAGAACAGTAGATACTACTCACAACCACCAAAAAAGTTGCAAATAATCCAGAAACAAGACCACAGCAATAATAAAGAATATTGATCAAGTAAAGAACAGACAATTACACTAAAGCTGAAGAAAGAACTAAGTTAGGAGATACTAGAATTTGAGAAACATGAAGAGAATATCTTGAAGAAACTCAGTCTCATAAAAAGCATGATATCTGAAGAGGCAAGATGCCCAAGAGCAAGAACATTACAGATTCAAGACAACTAATTGCACTGGACCACATGCAAAGAAGAAAATGAATTACTAACAATAATGATGTGTGGACAGCACTGGAATGAAAAACAGAAAGAGATAGAAGAATCAAACCACCCATGCCATAATAAATTTGAGTACAAATGCCAATGCAAATTTCAGAAAGACACAAGATTTTGGAAAATAACAAGATCTCTGCATGATTTGAAAGAATGTGAAAACTATGCAGAATACAAAGACAACAAGTATGTGCAGAAAATACACAAGAAATAATGTACCAACAGAAATAATTGCAAAATACACAAACAAGCACTCAAGATGACTCTTGTTAATTCAGAAAACAAGAGAGCTGCCACAAACAAGAGTCTGTAAGCAGCATGAATAGGCAAGCAAAACTGTTAGATACTAACAGACAAATCTGTTATCTCAGAGTTACAGCAATCTTACTTGGATCAAAGTGCATAACAGTTCTAGTGGACTCAGAAGTGACTGAACTGTTTATTGACAGAAGATTCATCAAACAAGCTGACATTGTAAAATGAATAAAGAAATATTCCTACCAGTTATCAGAACTGGAAGAAGAAACTCTTAATAGAGTTGAAGAAGAGACATATCTTATTAGAATAAGAATAGGACAGCACCATAAGAAAGTACATTTTGAAGTGATGAATCTAGAGAACTATAATATAGTCTTGAGATACCCTTGATTAAAACAGCACAATCCAGAAATTAACTGGCAAGAAGAAAAGATTAGACTGACAAACTGTAAATGCTCTCTTGAACCAGCATACCATAATTGAAGACTCACACTCAGAAACAACTTAGACAAGACACTGACCATAATAAGTCAGATCAACAGAAAGATACTGCATAAAGAATGATTGATTAACACTAAAGAAATTCATGAAAACCCAATCTATAATAACAAAGTGAATCAAGCCACAGAGAATCTCAATAACTTGAAGCAGCTGTAAGTACAAAAGAACAACCAGAATGAAAAGATCAACAAAACTCTACCAGAAGAATTCTAGAAATACATCAATGTATTCAGGAAAAGAGATCAAAGCAACAGTCTACCAAAACACAAACCCTGGAATCATAAGTTAAAACTACAAGAAGGAAAACAACCAGCAAAATTACCAATATACAGATTGAATGAAAAAGAATCAGCTGAAGTAAAGAAATACATCAAGAATAATCTTAAGAAAGATTATATCAGAGAGTCAACATCATCAGCAGAATATCCAATACTGTTTGCACTAAAGAAGAACAGAACTCTATAACTATATGTGAATTACAGATAGTTGAACAGCATTACAGTCAAGAACTGCTACCCAATACCACTGATTAAAGAAGTGCAAGACAGATTAAGGGGAGTAACATGATTTACTTTAATTAATATCAAGAATGCCTACCACCAAATATGAATCAAAGAAGGCAACAAATGGAAAACAGCATTCAGAACACAATACAGACTATATGAATACAATGTCATGCCATTTGAATTAACAAATACACTGGCAATATTCCAAGTGCTTATCAATAATGTACTGCAAGAATATCTAGATGATTTTGTCATTGCATACCTTGATGATGTGGTTATATTTACCAAAGAAGACTGAAAGAATCACACTAGAAAAGTCAAGAAAGTACTGGAAAAACTACAAAGATACAATCTACCAGCAAAACTAAAGAAGTGTGACTTCTTCAAGAAGAAAATCAGATACCTTGAACACATCATGTCAACAGAAGAAATATGAATGGAGCTAGAAAAAATCAACAAAATACTACAATAATCAACATTAAAGAAAGTTAAAGAAGTTCAGATGTTTTACAGACTAGTGAATTACTACCAACAGTTCATATATAGATTTTCAAAGAAAGCAAGACTACTCATATAGCTATTCAAGAAAGACAAAGTGTTCAAATAGACAACAGAGTGCCAACAAGCATTTGAAGCAATAAAAGATAAATTCAGAAAAGAAGAAATAAGACAACACTATAATCTGATAAAGAGATGTATGATTGATACAGATGCATCAGACTGTGCAATAGCAGGAAGATTACAATAATCAGATAAGCACAGAAAACTACAACTAGTTACATGCTATGCAAGAACAATAACATCAGCCAAACAAAACTACAATATTCACAACAAGAAACTACTTGTAATAGTGGCATTACTGAAGAAATTGAAAATTGAACTACAAGAAAATCAACACTAGATAGAAATTATCTCAGACCATGACAACCTGCAATACTTTATGACAACCAAAGAACTTACAAGACAACAAGCCAGATGGTATGCAGATGTACTGGTATACTATAACTTTAGAATACAACACTGCAAAGACACAGAAAATGCCTGAGTGGATGCATTAAGCTAAAGACTGGACCTGATAAGAAAAGAACAAGATTCAAGAACACTCTTCAAAGAGTTGAAAGAAACAAAGAATATGATTCTGGACCAACAAACATTGAGAGTGACAAGAATCATCACAGAAGAATCAGATATTGAAGAAAAGATCAAAAAAGCAATAAAGAAAGATGAATATGTAAAAAAGATTAACAAGAAAAATAAAAACTTCAAAAAAGAAGATGGAATGATACTATATTATGGACTGATATATATATTCAGAGAAGTCAGAAAACAAGTGATGGTATAAGAACATGACACAATCACTGCAGGACATTTTGAGATCAACAAGATAATGGAGAAAATCATGAGAACCTACTATTAGTCAGGAATGTGGATGGATATTCAACAACATGTTAAAGAATGTGAGACATGTGCATGAAGCAAAGCCAACAAACACTGATCATACAGAAAACTACAGCCAATACTGCAACTGTGAGGACCATGAAGATTCATAGCAATGGATTTCATCACAAAACTCCCAAATTTGAAGGATATGGAAGAGAAGAAGTACAACTCAATACTAGTGGTCACCAACAGATTGACAAAGTACAGATATTTTATACTGTTCAGAGAAGCAACAACAGCACCAGATACAGCACTGACAGTACTGTGAAACATGCTTGCCAACCACAGAATGCCAGAAGAAATAATTACAGACTAAGACACCAGATTCACAAGCAAATTCTGAACAACATTAATGACACAATTGGGAATTGAACAGAAAATATCAACAGTCTATCATCTACAGACAGATGGACAGACAGAGCAACTGAATCAAATCTTGAAGCAATATCTGTGAGAATATGTCAACTATCAACAGAACAATTGAATTACACTACTACCTATAACATAATTAACATACAATGAAGTAAAAATGCCACTACAGAAATGACACCATTCTACATAAACTATAGCAGAGAACTGGAAATACAGAAACAATCAAGAATTGCATGACAGAAGACTTAAGAAGCAGAACTTACAGTAATATAACTACAAGAACTGCAGAATCAGATAAAACTGGACATTGAATTCCTGAATGAAAGAATGAAGCACTACTACAACAGAAAATGCCAGAAGGCACCAACTCTGAAAGAGAGAGAAAAAGTATTTCTAATTTGATGAAATATCAAAATCAAACAATCAAGCAAAAAACTTGATTTCAAAAAATTGGGACTATACAGAATCACAAAGCAGATTGGAAAAGTCAACTACAAACTCCAGCTACCCAAGAAGATGAGAATACACCCAGTATTTCATGTCTTA